TTGTGACTTGGGAGTGTGTCTTGTTAAATTCTACACCTACAAGACATTAAATCTGGACATACCTCGAGCAGGGAACCGTGCTCATTCAGAATATGCAATGTTCAGTAAAAAAAAAAAACTACGACAAAAATTCCCCACACTAAACAAATTCCTACTCTGTAACAGAATCTCACTGCGACACATTGCAGTGGGCTTTCCCAAATCTATCAGAGCCCTGGCATGAAAAAAGTTTAGGTTTTAGAATTGTTCTCCCACAAATCCTTCTCATGTCATCTTATTATTTTGAGAGAATCCTATCTAATATTGGATAACTTAAGTTTACACCACATGTCATTCTTTTCCTTCAAATATATTCTTAATTGATTCAGCCCGCAGATAATTTAGACTCTCGAAGCAAATAATTTGCGACAGCTTCGTGGCCTCACAGGTGGATAAAACCGTATGTGTGGCACATAGAAATGTTCAGAATAAAAAATACTATGCAAGAACAACAGAAAAAAGGGTTGAAATGTAAGCGGTCAGGAAAAAAGAAGAGAGGAAAGTGACGCAAAGAAAGGGAGCAATCGATAAGAGCTTCTCGGAGCGGCTCTGTGTCAAAACACAGGAGACAGTCAGCTGCTGTGAGCCGCGCTGCCGGCTGAATCAGTTAAGAGTCCAATGGTATGTAATATGACATATTTTCTGGGCGTGAATCAAACTAACAATGGGTGCTGTGAAGGCGAAAATGGTCAAAATATCAAGAACTGCTCAGAGTTCAAAATAGATGTACAGTAGTATAACACTGATAGGTCAAACACAGAAGACTCGAAATCACGCATCCGTTGAACTGTGCCTGCAGTTCAGGTTTTTTTCTTTCTTCTTTATCTTTGTAAGATATCCCTCGAACTACGAATCCCTCAAACTACTGAGGCTGGTCCTGATAAATTTGAGCTATCTGTGTTATACTGTATTTGGGAACCAAAGCCGACTAATTCTATTATTACATGTAATACAAGTTATACGTCTTTAACACAAGTTTTGAGTCGAAAGTGATTCACCAAACCCTCCTGACCCACTTCATGAAGAGCAATTTCACTTAATTAAAATTCTGAAATTCGATTTATTATAATGAGCTCTCTCTGCATGACATGAAATGAAAAAATCCACAGAAAAATTTCTCCGTCAAGCATGTGGAACATGGCACAAAGTACACTGGCATAACTCCAGTCTAAATGACTTCACTGAGGCATGCAGCAGGGTGTAAGTTTTATGATGACGAATAGTTCATGAAATTTGAAATTTTTTTTTCAGATGACGTAACAAAACATTACTCTCACTGTAACATTCGATTGTATTGTTATCATCAGTTAAAAGAAAACAAAACAAAACGAAAGATTAAAATAAGAAAAAAATCTCATTCGACTACACAATATATATTACTAACTTTGTGGGAAAAAAAGGAAATTTTCTTGAAAACTAAAATAAAATACTCTCTTCCATTATTACAAAGTACCAAAGAAAATGTGCTTTAAGTAACACGCCATCTATGTCCACATCTAATTTTCTAAGACATCATAATGAACATGAAAAAAATGTACAACATAAGGATGCTCATTGAAACCATAACCAAGACATAAAAACAATGAACTCACAGACGTCTGCATAACACCTCTGAGGCATTCATGACACATAGACAGTCACAACTAAATGGTGCCCAGGGGCCCAGACTCCAACAACTAACCAGCATTCATCCTATGTCGTAATAAGCTTCCATTTCAGGACGTACTGACATGCTGAAGAACCTTTACCTTTTCTCACAAAAAGCACACCATTAAAGAATAAAATGATTTCAAAGGACTCTTCAGCAGTCATGCACTATTTTTGAGTCATTTCAATGAAAGCTGAGTTATTTCTTTGATAAGAATAGCATAAACACCTACACCAGGAAAAGGCTTGAAATGTTTAAAAATAGTGTGATGTGAGTAGACATGGAAACCATCCCATTTGCCATGCAAAATTTGAAATTTTTGTCAAAATTACAAATTAGAAATCATTTGTCAAATTTGCAACTGACCACACTTCATAGAGGCTGATTTTGTGCAGGAATTTACAGTAAAACAAGAATGAACTTGGCCATAGGTAATAAAAAGGCACAGCAAATTTATCACATTCTTTTTCCAGAAACAGAAAGCAGTACACAAAACAAATTAGAGCACCAAAAAAACCCATAAGAAATGTAACACAGCATCCGTCATTTAAGAGAGGGCATAATCAAATAAAATCTTGATGCCAATACATTTGCAAGAAACTAACGAACAAACACCAGAGGTAAAATTGTTCCAATCTTTCAAGCACCTCACCAGAGATTTTTCAATAACATGAACACATGACAATCGTACTGACAACTTTAATGAGCACAAGTAAACAATGAATCATAAGACTAATGATGACTTGCCCGATTAGTTTCGTTTGACTGCTCAACAGGCATTAACAAACGGTCGTAACGATAAACAGTGCAACTGCATGAAAGTAACATATTTTGCCAAATTAATCAAGTCGTTTATCATTGGTAACACTAACATAAATTCTGCCCGATCTCCATATATCAGCTGTCTCCGGTACAAACCATCTAAGAGATTTTGGTATTTACCACAGAGCCCACAAAAGTAAGTTAACGTTATTTTCCATTATCTCTGAGTACATCCAGGCATTGGAATACAAAATATGAAGGATTCAAATACCTACTGAGAAAGAGGTACTTTGTGCGAGAGGCCACAGAAAGTCTAAGACATCCTGTGAAATCTTCAACATTAACAGTCAGTGACTTAGGTGAGTATGGCGACATGGTAAGTCAAAAACAGCAATGACCAGCATTATAGTACCAGGCTAGTACAAAGCAAACTTGCAAGCAAAAGTTACTTTCTTTGTATTCACAGTCTTTGGTTCTTTCATTATTTCTCCATCCATAACTTCCCCCCTATCTAAAAAAAGAACCCAAACCAAAACAACGTAGCAATGACAACGGCAAACCCAGGTCCTTGGACAAATATGTTAGAGAGGTGGTGCAAGTTGGAAGCTTTATTTTTTTTCGAAGTAACTGAAGTAATTTTGCAGAATGTTTTTGAAACTCGTGAAAAAAAGTGCTGTCTCCTGTTCAAACTTGAGCGTCCAAATAAGCGGATTGAGCTGTGAGCATCAAATGGCTTTCCATCCAGATACGATTTCACCCATGGCTCTCAAATAATTGGAATTGTCACAAGTTTTCCAGAACATCCAAGAGAATTGTATTTAGGCCACACTCTACTTCTTAGCACCAAAATCTACAATTATGTGATTTTTACTTCTTTTTTCTCATTTTCTCAAAGTATTCCTTTCAAGGATAAAAAAATAATCAGTTTTGGGAATCATTACCAGTTACATAATCACGGAAATGGCAATTTAGAGTCAAATCGGGCTATCTGAAGGACCATTTTCAAAGTTAAAAACTCATAAACCATCCATGCTATCTGTGAACTAATCATATATTTGTAATCTGCATCCAAACCTTAAGAAAAAGACGCTTGCTTTTCTTGAAATTGTAAATAATAATCTTATCGCTTGCTTTTCTTGAAATTGTAAATAATAATCTTATCGCTTGCTTTTCTTGAAATTGTAAATAATAATCTTATCGCTTGCTTTTCTTGAAATTGTAAATAATAATAATTTTATAACTTTTAGAAGACATGCATATTCGCGAATGACAAAAATAGTCAAAATAGCAAAGCAAAAAAATCATTAAAAATGTATTTTAAAAAATAAATTACAAAAAGCTAGCGTCATTTTATTTGGAATTGCATGGTGCACTATCCCTCCAAATTTCATGTCTTTATCTTGAACAGTTTTTGAGTTTTTAGCTTTTAAAGCCAAAAAATTAACATTTTGAGGAAAGGAGCAAAAACGTCTTAAAATTGCTTTAAAGCATTGTATTGGCTCACAATGTTTCAGACTTTATGGAGCAATCTCTTTGAAATACGACTTTGGGACTACTTCCATCCGATTTAGCACACAATTTTCAAGGGAAGTTTCTAAAACCCCAAAAACATTGTCTAGACCTAAACCAGATCCCAACAGTCCGAGTGATTGGCGCTCATATGACCTTATGCAGTTGCCAGCGCCATAAAAACTTTACTAAAACTAAAACAAATTAAACAAAACCCGTGTATGGCCTTAAAAGGAAAACACTGTACAGTAGAACAAATCATACAAATCTTTAGGACCTTATTCTGCATCTAATATCCTGAAAATAACCTACACCTAAAATCATGATACAGAGGAAGTAAATGTTTAATTAGGCACATCACCATGGAAACATTTACTATTATAATGAAACCAAAATCATATGGCAACTTCACATTAGACTTCTATCTTTAACTCTAGCAATAACTGCGAGCTGTTTAGGAATAGCACAAGACACAAATTGACAAAGATTCAAGTCATTTCTAAAATGTTCTTCCACTATTCCACCATCAATATTTACGGAAACCATAACTCACTCCCAAGGGGAAACCACAGCAAAAGATGATGCAGTGAGCTAATTCCTCCATGGCAAAAGACGTTGCAGTGAGCTAATTAAACCTCTCTACTCCCAACAAGGCCACATCATCTGGCCTCCAACCCGAAACTCGGCACAGAGCAGTGGTGCATCCCTAAGAGTTACAAAGTTTTTTCTGCCATTTTTTACTGTATTAAGTTATTTAGACCTCGAGATCCAAAACCAAATACGAGGCATCGAGGGGAAGTTAGGCGCTCGTCAAAAAACGAAATCGAAGAAACAGGAATTTTTCTGCCAGGCTGGCAATTTTTATCAGTTTTTTGTTTTTTGACTCAACACCTTACATGTCCATATAAAAACATATTTTCATGTGAATTTTACTGAAAAACGTTGATTAAAGCCACAAATAGGTAATTTGAAACTACCAAAACTTTGGCGGCCATTTTCTCAGTAATTTTACGACTGAAACCAGGCGACCCCACCTTTTTAAATCGCAAGCATCTCGACTTCTATTCAAGATAGATGAGTACTTTTTTTCATTGACAGTAAGTTACCAATAACGTCACATGCCCAAAAATTGAGGAGAGCCGGATTCCACTGTGTCGTGACACAAATGTTCTACCTATTCCATCAAAATCGTATGACTATTCAGAGTTATCAAGATATTCAAAGAATTGCATTTGAAAAAGTTCACATGTTGTAAAATTCAAAGTATTTTATGTCAAATTTCTCAAAACTATTCACTGAGCAGACAGAACTTTGTAATCCTAAGGTAACGTTTTGTCAAGGTTATTACACAACTGCCCAGGTCATTTTTTTCCCCAGACTTCCAGTCACTGGTTTGGCAAAAATGCCTGTGCCTTACTCCATATCCTCAGTACAGCACGGTCTTGTCTTCAGTCCTCAAAGTCCAGTTACACAAGATACTTTCACTTCTGCTCAAGTCAAAAGGTTGACTTTCGTAAGCACCGTCTTCCTTAAGTTTTCTCACAAGTAAAAAAAAAAAAAAGACTTTGTCAGTAAGGCCATGACCGTGGTGACTATATTCACAACTCCTGCCACGTAAAACACTGGTGGTAGGGTATAAAATAAAACACATAAATCAGAATCACTCAGTAATCTTCGCTGGGCACGTCGTGGGTGGGGTCAATATCCACGTCCACGCTGTTGTACTGGGCGTTGGCCAGGTCGAGCAGGTGGTCCAGGGCCTCCCCGCTGGTGGCGTTGTTGCTCACGCTGCTGGTGGTGGACACCTCTCCCAGCGAGCGCCGCCTGTGGGGACGCACCACAACACAAGAGTAAGTAATGTGCACCATGTTCAAAGACATTTGTGAGGCATCGTGGTGAAATCAGGCGCTCGTCAAAATAATGAAATCAAAGAAATCAGCATTTTCATGGCGATTGGGCAGTTAAAATTTTTTTCTATTTTTGGCTCAACACCTTTTATGTCCATTTAAAACACAATTTACATGTGGATATTACTGAAAAAATGTTGATCAAAGGCACAAAAAAGTAAATTTGCAAGGATTTTCAAGCCTTAGAAGCCAACACATTTTGGCAGCCATTTTCTCACTAATTTTACCTCTGAAACTGAGTGCCCCCCACCTCCTTCGATAGCAAATATCTCAAATTTTACTCAATATGAATGGATGACTTTTTCATTAAAGCAAGACAAATGAACAGGCTTTAAGTTGATACCAATAACTCCACATACTCAAAAATTGACAAGCGCCTGATTCCTCCACGTTGTGACACAGTATTTTACCCTTACGCTGAATTTGTGGAATGAAAGTAGCTGAGGGATGGTATTGATTTGTCTTGTTTGAGTAAAGAAAAAGTACATCGACACAACAATGGTCATTTAGAGCTGGGAAAAAGTAAAGTAGATAGACCGAAACAACAGAGGGGAAGTGAAGAAGTAGGACCGACCAGTGGTACCTTCCAATCACCCGCTGAGTGATGGGAAAAGAATCTGGAATCGCTTATTAATGAAGTAACTCGCATATGAATCACGCATAAATAAATAAAGTCACTCGTTCAAGAGACAAGACATACATATCTGGAATCACTTATTAACAAAGTCACTCGCATAAAAGAATCACCCATAACAAATAAAATCCCTCATCACTCAAGAGAAGACAGACATACATATGGTCACTTCCATAAAGGGTCACACATAGATAAGCTCACAAATACAACATTAATGCTATGATGACTAATATTGCCCACAAGGGTCACAAATTAATAATGTGACTCATATAGTAAGTTACACATAAATAAGGTCACTCCTATAAAGAGTCAAACATAAAAATAAGGCAACAGTACAACATTAATTTTCAACTTTATTTTGACTGTTCGTGAATTTTTATTGCATTGTATATTTTTAGTGAACACATTTTCAACCTCACTGCGAGACTGTTTTTCTGGTATAAAATTTTACACATATGCATTTATATTATATGTATAATACTTTGTTTTACGTACACATTTGTGTCGATTAATTTTTAAGATGTGATGTCTTTTTCATTGTAATGCGCATTGAGCATCTTTTAGTAAATGGAAATGCGCAGTATAAATGCTATTTATTATTATTATTATTAATGGCATTTCAAGAAAGAGTCACATATCTCAATAACTTTACCCGCATGATGAGTCACACATAAATAATGTCAATAGAACAACATAAACACTGTAACTACCTTTGCTAATCTACAGTATACTCTCTTGTCTCTTTATCTAGATCAGCAAGTCCAGGTCAATACTAGTGTAAGGAAAACAAAAAAACAAACAAAATTTTAAAAAAATATAAAGTACAGCAATATACACGTTCAAATGAGAAACAGGAAGCCAACAAAATAAAATGAGAAAGTTAAAAACTCACGTCGGATAACTTCGTAAATTCGTCCGCGAACTTGACAAAGTGCTTGAATTTTCTAAAAGTAAGATGTCATTTCTCCGAAGAAATTCTTCAAAATGTTGATAGTTGTCTACTGGAATGAATGGCAGCATTTCTGAAATTAAAAAAAATAACATCCAAGAAAATGCAAGATATCTCACACAAATTGTTTCTATGTTAAGAACTCAGTACCTCGTAAGACACAGATAAAATAAGACTGACATGTGCAAAAAAACACCCTGTTATTGTTATTAGGGTCAGTCTCTTTTTCTACTTTCATTCTTGCCTGCAGAGAAGGTGATGGAGGATGAGGATGGAGAGGAGGCTGGCGGATGGGTTGGGAGTTGCCTTTTCAAAATGTAGGTAATACCAAGTGCACACTGTCAATCGTATTCATTGAACTGAGTCAGAGACAGCCAAATTTTCCTTCATGGAAGGGTCAAGCGTTTTGGCATAATTTGACAAAAATTGACTGTGACCTTCAAATTCGTTCATTTCTCAAGGTTGCGATTCAAATTTGTTGTATTAAGCCAAAAAAGTAGCTTTTGCCCCTCCCTGGGGGAAAGTCTAGCTGGCCCCAGCTCACTTCAACTGAATCCAATTAGCAGTGTTCACTGGGTACAACCAGCATCTCACGGCATACCCAGTTGTGAAAGTCGAGCTCTGTACAAACTCCTCTCAAATAATTAAATTTTATAATAGCTCGTCCGTCAATGTCTGACCATGACCAATACATCAGCATAGGAGAATAATATTTCTCCAGCGAAATAAAAGAAGCTGAAGATTTTAACTGTTAAGATGACTTGTGAGTTCTGCTGTGGCCGATGAAAAATTTGCCATATTTTGAACATGATTTAAAAGCCCCCCACTCCCACTTGTGGAGGTGCGCGGCTTGTGGACTTCTCTCTTGGTTTCAGTATTTTTTAAATTCATGAAGCCTGATACATCATGCACCCTGATTTTAACATATTTTAATCAAGAAAGGAGACCTCAACCCATAATATGACAAAAAGGCATATTTTGCAAGCTGGGATGGAATATAAAGTATACATTTTGAACATTTAAAAGGTCTACTTCCACTTGTGGATGTGCACAGCTTGAGGGGCTTCTCTCTTGATTTCAGCATTTCTGGCTTGTTTGTGAAGCCTCATATAGGATTTGCTCTCAAAACAAGTACCTGATAAAAGCTGTTTCCTGTCCGGCCCGAGGAGGACGAGGACCTTATCACAGAACTCGTCAAACCGGTTGTCCCGCTGCCAGTCCTCCTGCAGGTGCTGAGCAAACTTACGCAGTTCCTCCGCATTCAGCTTGGTGGTTAACTGAAGCAGATGGACAGAGAAAAATCTGAATGAGCAATACAGAAAGAGGTGGTGAAGGAGCTGGACAGAGAAAAAACTGAAGGAGATGAATGAGATAGCCACAGACAATTTTTTAAAATAGAAATCTATGCCAATTCTAATGTCGTCACTATAAAATTGATACACATACATCCAAAATTATTCAAGCGCTTTCAAACATACACCTGTTGTCATTGTGAAAGCCTGAGGGGAAAAAAACCCCTATCAGTCTGTCAGCAAATTTGCTAAGACCGTATCACAGTCACTATTACATCTATAACATGACCACGTGCTTTCAAACATACACGTCACTGGGGGAGAAAAAAAGATCAATCTTGACAGATTTTCAACTATGAAATGGTCATTGTTAAAATTGTGCATACACACAATTATTCATACGTTTTCAAATAGAAACATGTAACTGCTAACAAATTTTTTTTTTAAACCGCTCTATCACTGCTTTGAATATTTTCAGCAGGCAATCAGCCCCAGGTTATATCTGTCACACTGCAGTTTTCTTTTTCATGGAATGGTCCACATCTTTGAGATGAACAAGCACATCACATAACACCCCCCCCCCCCCCAGACTCACAAATGGGAAAGACAGCCATAATGAGGGCAAAAAATCTTACCTTTGTCATGTAGTCTTTCAACAGCTCATCTCCAGTGACACTGTCGCTGTTACGATTACTGCCGGAATCACTCGGCACACGTGAAAACCGTGACTCTGTTTCACTGCCAAAAAGCATGACATGATGTGTCAGTCACATTTGAGTTTTCTAAAGAATAAGAATGCCTACTTGTTCATTTGTTTGAGTAAAGAGAAGCCCATTGACATAATAACGGTCATACAGTACAAGGAAAGAGAAAGACAGGCAGACAGGAACAACAGAAGGTCAGGAAAAAGGAAGGACTTAACAGATGCATCTTTTAACAACAGCCTGCAAGAAGAAGGCATACACACGACATCACTTAGTCAAAACAGTTGACTTGAGTCCTTCTGTATTGTCAGATACGAAAAGAAAGAAATAACTGTAAAATTTCAAATCACATCGCGAAGGCCAACAAGTCAAGCCTTTTGACACTGATAAATATTATAGACATAGCTGCCACTCAGGAATTTCAAAAAAGGAGGGAATTTACGCGAAGGCGTACGCGAGCTCTCCGAAGGCCGGAGTAAAACCAGTGAGATCCAGAGGCAATATACCGGAAAATCTACCCTACGGTTTTGGAAGGGAAAACTGTCATATTCGTTAACCATAGACAACTGAATAAAAATGTATTTGAAAAAATACAAACAAACAAAAAAAACAAAACAAAGGCACTAAATTGACTAACAAACATTTGAGTCATTTTGACACAGTTTGGACTTGCTAAAAATCCAGTGATAGTTGCCAGCTGGTGTCTCATAAAAAGATTTCTTTCGCTTTAAACTTGTACATCGATGTAGAGCAGTATTGGATCAGGGAGGCAACACCTTTGCCGCAGTACTGAGAGATTTCGGCACTCCTGTACAATTGCAGTCCAGTTTGCACTTAGTGCCCCTGTAGTGTGTTTCTTATTTAGTGATCGAATTGAATTAAAATTATAGCCTAGGCTATCTAATCTAGATCTAGAATCTAGATATCTAAAATATGTGTAGACCTAGATTATGTCTAGAGACAGATTATCTAGATCTGGAATCTAGATCTAGACCAACTTCCACAGCCACAATAGCCGTCATGTAAACAAACGGGACCGCAATTGTACAGGAGTGCCGCGATTCCTTTATCGCACCAAATAATAAGTGCACACAGCAAGCGGCTTGTTCAATTTTCTAATGAACTTTTCAAGTCGCACACCGGCTGCTTCTTTCTCATTCCAGCTCCTTTTATTTTTGCATTCTGCATCAATTTCTCTCAAATTCCCACCGTTTTCAATGACAACTCGCTGCGCTAACATCCCGATGCCCCATCGTCACAGTGTTGCTCCACAACGATAAACAATGTGAAACTAGAGCTAGGCCTAGAAAAACGGAAGTAGAAAGCTTCTGGGCGGACATGCGCAAACCGCGTTTTCGTCTCTCTCCCAGTTCGGTGTTTTCCGCGGGGAAAAAAATATATCGCAATTTGCGACCGAGAGCGGTCCAGTGGCGGGAGGAAAGTAGCGGGAAAAGCTAGGTGAAGCGGAGTTTCCGCTATTTAGCGGGAAAGTGGTAGTTATGTATAGAGCAGGTGCACATAATGCAGTTGTGTAAGTATTCTGCCGTGTTTAGCAAGGCCTGGGTCCAAAACCCCTCCAACACAGAATAATTATCTAAGAGGCATAACCGTTGATTCAACGTCCATTTCCAAAATGACAACCGACAACCAAGTCTTAGTGGTTGGAGAGTCAAGAAAACTCACAAAACATACTTAGTCCAAACCTGTCTCATTAAGGATCTGAACCTGGGTCATCTACACTGTAGTCCAGCAAGATATTAAATGAGCTAATACAGCGCCCAGTTTCCAGTTGGAGATCAAATGAAAAGTGGCATCATAGGTCATGATATACTTGACTAGTAACTCCATTCCATCATATCTGAACACACAATTATAACATGTTATCATTGTCATGAAGAAAACTAAATGCCTCTCCATTCGACAGTGATTTTGCAGGAGGAGTAGTAAAGATTTTAAACGATCACTGCCCATTTTTCTTGTGTCAGTGGTAACATACAGGTACCAAAAAAGGAGGTATAACAATATTCACTTCATTTAAAATCATGAATGTTGGAAAGGGCCTAGAGACTAATCAGAAGGTAAGTAGCCACAATTAAGAATCTCAAATCTATCCCCTTTGTCAAATAATTGAAATATCAAAATATTCCACTATTGAATCAACACTCACAAAGAATGCTTGTTGGCTTGTCTTGTGTTATTCACGATTGTAGAAACTGTTGGGAGAAAAATACAAAAATACATACATAAAATAACAGCAGTATGTGAAAGTAAGCCTTAAAGAAAAAGGTAAAAGCAACAAACAACGTTTTTTTCAAATGGAAATCCTCCCCCCCCTTCCCAAATAGAATATGCAGAGAAAAGAACGTCTCCCCTTTGAAATATATACATAGAAAAACATGGTTCATTTTAGATTCAAAGTCTTCTTCAATAAGAAGACTTGCAAAATCTTACATGATTTCTAACACTAAGAAAATAGTACCTAACACCAAAGATTCTGTATAACAAAATGGTTCACTCCTCTCTTTGAACCAATTAAAAAAGTGTCCTTAAAATCTGGAGGCACCATCTTCGAAAAAGCGCCCGCTTTGCGAACAGAGTTACCCTACTTGTGTGGAAAAAAATAAAAGTGAAACTAACAAGTTTTGTAAAAATTATAATTAAAATATCGGAATAACGCCTTCTTAAAATAGTTCCGCTGACAAAAATCCTTTTCGAGTGAAAGGGGCGACTATTTTCATTGTTTAATTTGGCTTTATTTGGCTAGAATGAGAGGCGAGAGGTCATTGAAATAAAATAAAACCCAAAACTCAGCACTGAGCGAACCGGAACAGCTGATGTGCAAGGGGGTGCTATTCCTATTCTTCTTCTGGAGAAACGAAAGAGAGCTTCAAAACAAAGACTGCAGCGCCATCTGAACCAATGAGCGGACTTCCGCGGACACTTTTTTGGCTGAGTGAACCATCTTGTTATGTAGACTCTTTGTTAACATGCACATGACTTATCAGATCAAGAAGGACAGTACAGTAGGTCAGTCATTCATTTATTCAAATACAATGATACCCTAAAGATTGAGGTTCAGATGTTATTATTATCACCTTTCCTTGGTAACACTTCTCTCAAAATCCTATGTCACAAAGATGGGAACAAATGTTTTTTCTTTGAAACTATCAGCAGTGAGACTGGATGTCGTTAAACTTCAACAAGAATGCACACTCCCACTTCAGTTTTAATAAAAGATTTTTTATGCTGGCAACCCCATGACATTGGTGTCAACAAGCAATCCACTTAAATTCGTTTTTGGTACTTTTTAGGTCAGAGACAAAAAAACTAGTTTCTGTTGTGTTGTTCCTATCAGGAACCATGAAAAGCAACAACATTGTAAGAATTAACTAGAGCATTAAACTGCATTTTGGTGATGTTGAAAGGTGCTTTGAGAGGGTGTAAATATTGAAAATTCTCAAAACTGAGACTTAAGTGTACTGCTTGTGACAGCGATGATAAGACACCTCCATTTCACTTCTCCCTCAGACCACCCTGTCCTCTAAAAACAAGTAAACCCATGTTTGCCTACCAGTGCCCGTGGGTGTGCTGCCCCCTCCCCCCAGTTCCAGGGGTCGGATTTGTCTCTCCAGAAGGTCCACTGTGGCCTCCATGTAGACCAGGTGAAAGCACTGGCCAACAAGTGCACAGATCTCTTCTGCAGCCGTCTGAGAATTTTAGATCATTATACTTCATAGTACAAAAAAGTGGGACGACATGGAATAACATCAAGCGGCTAGCCTAGGATAGGGAAAAGTGGAAAATGTTTGTTCATGGCCTATATCCTGATCTAGAGTGAGGCAACGATGATGAGTTTCTAGTAAAATGAAGCACACAGACATAATAGTGGTTATTCAAAGCTGGGAAAGGACAAGACAGACAGACATAAAATACAGAGGGAGAGTGAAGAAGTAGAATTACAAATTTGGCTCCACAACCATCCACAAGGGCTATTGACATGATAGTTGACGACAATTAGTTGGCACGAAAAGGGCCATATTTTTTTCCAGGAACAGATTGTGGCAATGGCAACATTGACTAGAAGTGGAAAGAGCAGACGCTAACATTAACAGAGAGCCCACCACCTAACCATCTGAGGGACATGTGGTACATTTAACAAGTTCAAGTATTCACTACGACAGAGTGAGAAACTCACATCACTATGTGCTACAATTACAGAAATGTTTCTAAAACAATTTGGGAAACAAGGCTAAAAATTACAGGAAAGAAACAAATAAGAACTCATTTCAAATCCCTGTTAAGAAGCTTCATTTAAACTACCAGCTATTCTTTTATTGTATGGGTTTAAATCTACATCAGATTATTTCAAAGGTGGGACACACATTATAGGGATTTAAAGGTATATACGCAGCTGCTATGGCCCAATTCATCAACATTCTCGACTAACATATTCAAGGTCTAGGTTCAAAACCTAGTTGTATTCCAACTGTTTTGTCCTTCCTGAAAATTTGTTTCTCTCGACCCAATGACCTGGCGGAGACGACACAAACTGCAAATAGTAAGCCCTTCAATTTCAAGCAGTAATGGCAATAGCACAGGGCTAAATAGGAAGTAAATTTGCTAGATCATCTGATTTACATCTGCAAAATAAAAAAAGTCCTTTAAATTTGCATGTGCAAACTAATATAAATCATTTTTTTTAAAGTAATCCAAATTTCCATAACTAGTTTCTGTCCTTTATTTCTGTTTATCAACCTGCTTGTCTACATCACAAAAAGTCTGTTATTCCACGAGAAAACAGCATATCGCAATAACTGTCAGAGGTGCCAAATAGGTTGACAGAGACATCGGTAGACAAAAGCACTGTCTGAAAACTCACCTTACTCTCACAGTACAGAACGGCAAGTTTGCAAGACTCCGGGGTACCTGAGAAAGAAGCAAAACAAAGTCAGTTTTTACTGAATGGTCGAGAAGGTGTCATTGTAACTGAGTTTTTAAAATTTTGAATTGTAATAACAAACTCTTTCTTTAAAGCACTTTGACTATAAAAACTTATGGAAAAACTCTCTCCGAAATGACTTTGTATTTAGGGCACACTAAAACATTTATACTATATACAATGGAAAGTAAATATACGACACAGAGAATCTCAATAAATATATTTCAATTCATAAGAAATGCCCTGCATTGTTAAGATTGTTGTGAAAACAGATGATCCTACTACTCTTGTGGACTACGCAGTTGGTAAAACTTCATGAGTCATGAGGGAATACCAACAAAAATTGTCATCAATTACACCAGTGTACAGAAACTTTCAGTCTAACCTGTATTATTCATGCACACGGAATGTTCAAATTCATGAAAAAGTCTTATATAGAATCGTCACATTCAACCATACCAAATTTAATGGCCAGGGTGTGCTGCTGGTCATCTTTGATGTAACAAATGGCAGCAATTTCATGCATGGGGATTCTCAGCAACAGATCCTGAGGATAATGGAGAGAAAAAAAAAAGAAAATGAAATACAAGAAGCCTATGAAAGAAAAAAAGAAGAGCAAGAAGTCTATAAAAGAAAAAAAAAAGTCCTATCTTCTTTACATCTGCTCTCCATTACTTTATCAACACATAGCCTACAGAACAATATATTTCTTTGATGAAGAAGACAAATCATTCTTAAACGCACTATAGCGATTACATACTGTAAGGGAAGACATCATGAATTCATAATGGACACCACTTTCACTAACTGAGACATCGTGGTGAAATCAGGCGCTTGTCAAAAAAACAAAAGCAAAGACATAGGAATATTTTTGCCGGCTTTGCAATTCTTATCGAATTTTTGTTTTTTGGCTCAACAGGTATTATGTCCATTTCATTTTAAAACACATTTCTGTGTGGATTTTACTGAAAAACGTTGATAAAAGGCACAAAAAATGTAAATTTTCAGTTCCCAAGAACCCTCAACCAATAGAAATCACCAAACTTTGATGACAATTTTCTTGCTTATTTTACCTCTAAAATCAGGTGAACCCACCTCCTTCAATCGCTCATGTCTTGACTTTTATTCCAGATAGATGGGTTTAAAAAAATTAAAGATAGACAAATGAACAGGCTTGAAGATGACACCAATAATTCAACATACCCAAAAAGAGACGAGGGCCTGATTCCACTATGCCGTGACACAATTGATAAAAATGTCTTAGACAGAATTTACTCTCTTCTTAAAATTTTGAAAAGCTCCAGAAGAATTACACACAAAATAATATCCTGACAGCTTTTCATTTGATAAAGTGAAAAAAAAAAAGAGTCCAACAGAAATCCATGTAAAAAGAATCTCAAATCACACTTCTGCTGTTATCAATGTCATTGTCCACGATACATCGAAGAATACAATGACGCACCTCTGAGGCATTATACTTGCTGATCTTGATGTTGAAGACACTGAGGCTCAGGACGGCATTGTTTTCAGGGGACACCTGGGCAGGTATAACTTCTTGTTTCTGAAATAAAAACATATAAGTCTACGGTTAACACAGTAAAAGGAAAGGCTTTTTAGAGCATTGAAAGAACATGACAACATGACAGCTTTAACAATAATTTCAACAACTAAAGGTATAAGTAGAAAACATTCATCAACCTTTATTTTTCAATATTTACACCCTTGTAACTAGCTTTATTTTAAAGCTGTGACAATATCTGCACTCTAAATATACAATTACAGCAGGGTAAATCATATGCTTTTTTGCAGCAAATATGAAAGTATTATTTCACTCACTTTTCCCTTGTCAATGATCCTCAAAACATCAGTTCGGTTGGTTATGTCAATATGAGGTGAAACACCGTCAATTTCTCCAGCATACTGAGAAAAAAAAATTATAATAGAGAAGTATTGGGTTAATTTTAGTAATAATTTTACAGCACTTGAAACACAGATAGGTCATAAAAGAGCTTGAGATTAGATCTTTTACTTGAGAGTAACATGTGTATATTTAATAAACAAAAAAAAAAAAAACGAGGAGAAATAAGGAAGATGAATATTTGTTAGGAAAGAAGGAGCAAAGCACACCAGAGAGCCAGCCAACCATCCACAAAAATTAAAAATACAATAGGATATGGATTTTTTAAAATACTGTATATTAATTAAAAATGAAGATAATTCCATATATATATAATGAACTCTGAAGTACAACTTTTTAACACAGATCAATTTTCACAACACAAACTGAATTCTATTCAATAAAATGATATACTGTGCTAGCCAGCCAAAATACATATTTAGTGTCGCACACGTAACTCTGTAACTTTGGAATTATTTTCCACGTTTTGACGGAATTTTTTCCTAGATCTCATGAAACATGTAACAGGGGATACATGCAAAATATTCAACAAAATGGCTATAATTTGCGTCAAAGTGAAAGAGGAAGTAATTTACAACATATTCATCTCACACTTCCGAGTTAAAATAAAATCTATTCGGATTCGTAAGAGATTGCATTACACAGTAATTATGCCTAATGCTCCCTGCCATCTGACCAGACGTTGGGACCGCCCACTCAGGGACTGGGTGAGTTTCACTGGACGCTCCCATCGTCCACTCGGGACATAGAGTTTTATACCTCACATCCTTCTCTTCGCACGTTATTATGACACTCTTTGACACTCGGCAGAAAAAAAAGGACAAAGTATTGAAATCATTATAAAAGTAAAACATTCTAATCGAGACACTTAAATTATTTTTGGCCCGATTTCCTTGTTTTAGAAAAAGAACATTACAGTTCAACAATCTTTTAAAAAAAATTCCATACACGTCTGTTTGTTTTGGTAAGTGCTTTATGGCGCTCGGAACTGCACACAATCATATGAGCGCACGGGACACAGTAAACATTTTCAGTTGGTAGGAAATTTGAATTTTGCCCGGGAGGCACTCGAAGCCTACTCTTATTGATTTTGGACCATTAAGAGATCCTTAATGTGTGCAACTTGCACACGGGCCCTCCAAGATTTTTTGCCCTTGTCCAAGAATGCTAGGTGCAGATCTTTCCTACCATACGACCAGGGGTGTGGCTGAAATACAGCAGTGAGAAGGAGTCAGGGAGTAACAGTAGAAAGGCTGCAGAAAGAGCCGGGAGCCCAGAAAGGAGGGGGGGGGGGAGCCAAAGGAGGTGAGAGGGTGGGGGCAGAACATAGAGGTGAAAGCAGATGACAGAACATTCCTAGAGAGCAGGAAAGGAGATGAAAATAGACAATTTTGAGAAGCTATCCGGATTCGAACCCGCGACCTACTGAACGTGAGGCGAACACCGTAACCTCTAGGCCATACATGTCTAGGAATAGGCAGTGGTGTATAAAATTATACTGCAAGAACGATAAAACAACTTTCAAATGTGAATTCCCATTACCCTGACTGCTTTCTCCACATGTTCTTCTATGAGGTACTGTGAGTTGATCAGATACTCTGGCGGTTGGAGCTCAAAGTTGTTCAGCACGCGCTGCCGTTTCTCATACATTGCAAGGGGTGTTGCTTCGTGTCGAGAATTTCGAGAAGAATGATTGTCGTTCCGGGACTTGGGGCTAAAAAAAGGCTGTGAATTTTTGTTTAAAATAAAAATGTTTAGTATAAAAAGAAAACATTTTACATGATATTCTTTAGGCATACAATATGACATGATAGCGATATACAAATTAAAACATTTATTAGTTTTCCATTAAATGTAACAAACCCTATAGACTTTTATCACTATAGTTATAAACCCTCCTAAAAATATTGGGAGGGGGGGGGGGGAGTGTGGAGTCAGACGCATGCACCCTTGTTGTATTTCTCCATAAATTTATTTTTTGCGATTTGGTTTGAGATTTTTTGTGGTAAACAAATGATTTGTGACAGTTTTATTTTTAGCGGTCATCCCATTGTGCCCTGCAGCCAAAGATTCAGTTTAACTCCCCAAAACCAAAACAGTAACAGTGAGTAACAGTGGCATGAAGCTAAAGCAAGCACCAAGCACACGTCTGTGATTGGCCCAAATATGGATGACGTATTGCCGCCATCTATTTTTGTCATGTTCCGGGGTTTCCCTTGCCAGTTGACAAGATCTCGCTGTGATGGGCCTGTTTTGCCGCTTAGCCCGCGATGGGCTACACTACTAGGTCTCAGCGCCGACTACTTGGGCTGTGTGTGCGCGTGTGTGAGCTTGTGTGTGTGTGTGTGTGTGTATGTGTGCTTGTGTGTGTGTGTGTGTGTGTGTGTGTGTGTGTGTGTGTGTGTGTGTGTGTGTGTGTGTGTGTGTGTGTGTGTGTGTGTGTGTGTGTGTGTGTGCTTGTGTGTGTACAACTTCGAGTAGAAGCTAAATTTAAAGAACGAAAATTGCTGAAATTGTTTATAAAAGATAACAAATTAATACAAAAAACCCAAAAACAAACAAACAAACAAAAGAACAAAAGGGGGAAAAAAAGAAGACAGGTGTGTGCTGTGGATGAGAAGGGAGAAAAGAAAACTGAAAATCAACAAACAAAACGAGGACAACTATTTCATGATTTTAAGCGGCAAGATGGTCACTGATCGAACTCATGTAGTTGGCTGTCAAGTCATTGGATATCGCAACCATGGTCATAATGTCGTAGTTAGTCTAGCACGTTTTCACTGGGTGACATCATGATATATATTGATTACAGAATTACCAGACAAATATGACATTGTGCTATGAGAGCAAATTTCTTTGTCCAACTTCAGAAGTGAATGTTTTGTGGTGACACACGCACAGTCTTGCTTTACAGTTTCTTTATGGCTTGAGGTTACGATCTTCTATGATCCTTGTCTCTTCTTAGTGATATTAAATCAACAATTGAATAAACTATTGGTTTCTCCGTCATCTGGGTCCTTGAAATATGATGACTGGTGCTGTGTAAAGAGAGTCACATTACCTCTCTCTTGAGAGCTTTTTTGATCAATATATAGTATTGTCAGATTGTTACACATGTCTGACCAAATTGACATCATAATATTATGGATCATTGTAGTTGTGCAAGACAAGTTGTACAATTAGGGAAAGTGAAAATAAACTTCCTCTCTCTTTTTCTCTCTCTCTCTCCTTACCTCTTTCAGCCCCTCTCTCTCTCTTCTACCCCCTCTCTCTCTCTTTCTCCTTCTTTCTTTCTCCCCCCTCTTCCTCTTTCTCCCCCCCCCTCTCTCTCTCCCCTCTCTCCCTCCTTCTTTCTCCCGCGCCCCCCCCCCCCTTTTCACCGGCATTCTCTACTCTAGCAGCACCACTACAGGGATCCATTATTATTCTGTAGCAATGCCAATCGGGCTTTCCCGTGCGGCGAAAATTTGGTCCCCGTTTACGGGCGATTTTGCGGACCCGGCCGAAGCGTAGGTGACTAACTTTGTCAACCTCGGTCTGCTCTATTTCCGAACCAATCCGAATGAAACTCGGCAACCAATCAGAAAATAGGGCAGACTAATGATATGTGGACGTTGAAGTTCGTACACATAAATTAACCTATACTTTTGGTGTCGAGAACACTATCGTATCGTGTACACCGAAAACTATAAGGAGTTTGAATTTCAACGCCGAGATGGTAATAGATCTATCTATCCTCTATAGTGTGCTCAAATTTGAACATTCTGTGTCAAGTAGTTGTTTAGACCCGATCATAAATGCACGACTACCCCCCTATCCAAACCGGCTTCGCACGGAGACCGGCCATTTTCACTTCACTCTCGTGGCAAATGTATGTGACCTACAAATCCCCGCATGACTATTCCGGGCCCGTTCATTGGTCACTTGAAATAGGGCAATGGCGGGCGCGCGCATCCGGTTGTTTTTCTCTCTATTCCCCTGTAACACCGCAATGGGGGTATTCCGAGGCGAGGTTATCTCGTCTCGGGGTGTTCGCGTCTTAACGGGGAAAAAGAATTTTTAATTGTACGGCATGCTAGATTGAATTAACTTATCTTTTACGGTTGGCATGGTCTAAAGTCATCATAAAAAGCTTTGCAATTATTTAGTCACGCTGCCGACATATTCTTAAAGATCCCATGTTGTGATACGATGCTATAAATAAAATGGACTCATCCCGACACCCCTTTTTCGCAAAATCGTAATATGTACACCACAATTTTAATTATGACAGAATAACTACGAAATTTGTAGTAAATCTGACTGCAGAAATGATTTCTACACTCAAAAACACATCGGGTAGCCAAGTTTCTCTCGAACACTCCAATTAGTTACCGAGATATCGTCGATTTTCTTACAGAATCTGCTACTGCGTGGTCCACTTTTTAGGAGTATTTTCTTATATGTGGGTCATCCATATTTTGCCGACCTTTACAACCCCATAACTTTTTTTTATTTATGAACCGATTCTCAAAATTCAAGAAGCATAATTCTTAGAATTGAAAATTCTTTCTTAGGTACCAAAAAAAAAGGGTAAAGTGAAAATTTAAATTTTCATTGGCATTGCTAGTCAGTCAACTTTCATTTAAGAAATGTAACAAGGCTGGATTGTACTTTACCGGACCACCCGTCTCGGCTCGTGATTACTACGCACACCTAGCCTAACTACGCTCTCATAGTCATAGTACTCTGAGTGCGGACAAAAGGTAGTTCCGCGGGCGACTTCGCGCACGCACAGCGCAAGCCAGCGGCAACTGGCGAGGCGAGGTGAGCGAGAGTTGGTGGTTGAGAGTGGGCAGGGGATTTAACTTTGGTGGACCATGGTGTATCATACACCAACAGTGGGGAGGGGGAGGGGGGTTCAGGGGGGCTTGCCCCCCTGGAAACTATAATAAAGAAAACACACAAAAATGCGAAACAATAACATGAGCGAACAGTCGTGTTTACATATCAATGTAACAACAGTGGGGGGAGGGGGGGGGTGCAACAATAATTTAAAGACACTCACACACAGATATTATAAACAAAAACATGAACGGACAATCGGGGTAGATACTCGCCAAGTCGCGAGCAGGGCCGAGGGGGTTGCATGCAAATGAGCTCTCGTGCGCATCTCGTCTCTAGCCCTCCTTTGTACTTTGTCGGACCAGGAGTAGGCCTAGGCCAGGCCAGCAGAGTTGCGAGCAAATAAGAATAGTGGACCACGTGATTAGACTGACCAATTAGGCTCAAGATGTCAGGGTCATGGGTCAAAGGACACGGTGGCACGGTCGTGATGACTGAAAAACCCGGTTAGAGACGTCAGTCGATTGCTGGCAGTTGAAGAGTGAGGACGTAGAAAACTGAGTAGGAGAGTGAGTAGGGGAGCTCGGAAACGAAGAATAGTGGGCCACTAGGCACCATAAGCGAAAGTAGTTCCAGTGCTTCCACCAGCTAAAGCTGAAAAGTAAGGAAAATTCTGCTGGGGGTCGCAGAGGCCCCCAGCAGGGTCCAGGGACAGAGTCCCGGCGGGGGTTCAGGAGGAGAAGCCCCCGAAGAAATTGAAATTTAGTACTTTTAGAGGGTTGAAAATGGCATATGGGAGCCTGTTTGAAGAGATTGCCAACAACTCATACTACCTATTTTTTCACCCAGATTTTGTCTTGTTTGATTTCTTCACCAATATATCTTTCCATTGCTGGCAATGTTTAAAAGCAGGTTCCTGTTCCATTGCTACTATAATTCAATTAATTTGTCATTGCACCTTTGATACTGATAAAAGGCAAACCTGGGAATAATGAATAGATATATGTAGGCCGTACCTTCACAATACAGTTACCAGACCTGCCATTCTATGAAGCCTCAAAATTAGGATCTCAGGGAGAGAAAAATCGGGATTTGGTGAAAAAAATCGGGATCAACAGCAAATCACCAAGGTGACTGCCAAAGCTGACTTAAAAATTTTCATGGGTGTCCATAAATGACTCGGCCTATATGCTCTCTGTGTGTCTTTGCGTGCGTGTTATCATTATTTTTTTGTAAATCCTGAAGCATCACATTAAGCACTCCTAGTCCAAAAGTCTCTACCCCCCCCCCCCCCAACCAATAAGTCCCGAAATACATGAACTTAGGTTGACCCCGTCAACGGACGGACCCCGACACGCAGAACTCACACGGCGATGTCATGTCACGTGATGCGTATGCGCGATTGAAACAATTTTACTAACGGGTCCGACTAACTGCACGTTCACACAAAATACTCGGATGAGAAACAGTCGTTCTACTTCTAGGATAACAACGGCGGCCGACCGACCAAATGTACCAAAAAATCTCTTATCCCTCATAATGCGTTCAGACTAAAGCAACGACAACGGTCGTATGTTTGTCTTGCCACCGCAGTTTACATGTAGTTGTGTAAGGGTAAGAACGACTGTTGCTCGTCCGAATCTTCGCAATGATAATTTCTCTAGATCTAGACAATAAATTTGCAAAAAAAATTCTTTCTGACAGTAATTTTCTGTCTAAGATCACATGTCAATATACTTGATCAACGCGCAGATTCTTCCAGCCGCGGCAACAACCCGAAGATAGACAGACGGAATGAGGGAATGATAGAAAGGAAGAAAGTGGCACAAAAAGTTCGCCAGATTTTGATCAATCTGCAGGTAAAAAATGTACTGCCGACAAGCCTGCAATGAATGCATGGGGCAGAGTAGAATAAAGGCAGATTGCAGGAAATGCGCAATCTGGCAGGTTTCTATAGCATAAACTATTGCCGAGAGAATTACCGTAACTTATACAAGACATACGAAGGCGAGTACGGATCTTTTGCTACGGAATTTCGATAGTCCTACGCTGTCGCAGATTTTTACGGAGGGAGTTGATGATGATGGAGGAACAAGTACGGAACTAGCAGAAAGTACGGATTTCCGTAAAAATACGGAAGAGTGGAAGCACTGAGTTCCGACCGGTGGTCCGGTAAAGTACAATCTTACCTGTAACAATTTGAGAAGACTATATATACGGTGAACTGCTGGCCACTTAAATTTTAAAAAACTTAAAATCATTGTATAAACAATTTTCCTAGTTTTTGTTTGGTGAATTTCGGTCCTCTTTTCTGCCTTCACATCAACTCCTCCCCCCCCCCCCCCCCCACCTCCCTTTTTTGTGTGTACAGTGTTATCTTTAAATAATTTGCTCATCAAGACTTCTGGATTTCTTCTCTGGATGTAAACAAATGGATCCCGGGAAGCTGAGAATGTTTCGGAGTGTTCTATGGTCTGCTGGGGTAATAATATAGTGTAAAGCGCATAGAGCCTGCTGCTGAGCGGGGATATGCGCTATACAAATGCTATCTATTATTATCTATTATTATTATTATTATTGTAGACTTTAACGAACGGAACCACAAGATCACCGAATCTAGATCTAGATTTTCTAGATCTAGATATAGATTCTAGATCTAGATCTAGAGATCTAGTGGGACATCCCGTTAAACGTAGAAAAGACGCATCTTCTTTCTGATTGGCTGCTAATTTTAGTAATGTGATGTCATCACTTCCTGGGATACCCACATGGAACGATGTGTTTTCGGTAACATTCCGGATTTCCTAGATCTAGATTCTAGATTAGATCTAGATTCTAGATCTCTAGTGGACATGATGGAAGACCGCACGAAAATTGCCGTAAAGACGCAGGAGGACTAGATGTTTAGATCTAGATCTAGATAGATCTATATATCTAAATTTAGATATCTACCCCGCCTCCCCCCCTCCTGCATTTTTAATCACTAATACATTTTTTTTTTAAAAACAACTTCAAAGCAACCCTACAAATTAGGCCTATAATTTATGGAACTGTTGGTCAGTCGGGAGGAGGAAAAGAGAAAAAAAAACTGTCCGGGACCGGAATCGAACCGCTCCAAAATTCATTGCACGACATCAAATGCAGACGCGCTGTCAAATCAGCTATCAGAACTTCCAAGAGAAAGGTGTAGATTAAGCATCATAATCATATATACATGATAGACACTTCCATCTTTGGTGCCATGCGGTTGTCTATACTTAGATTTAGTCACATGATCGGAGGGGTATCCTGGTCTGACGTCAAACAAGATGGGCGCCTTACCTAAAAATAGTTTGCGTCTTTCTACTTTTAATCGCATGTTCTAGATTCTAGACTCTACTAGAATCTAGATCTACAATCTAGATCTAGAATCTAGATCTAGATATCTAGATCTAGATTTTATCTAGATCTAGAGTCTAGATATCTAGAGTCTAGAGTCTAGATCTAAATCTCTAGGGTAAGATTGTACTTTACCGGACCACCGGTCGGAACTACTTTCGCTGTGGCGCCCCTGGTGCCTAGTGGTCCGCTGTTCTTCGTTTCCGAGCTCCCCTACTCACTCTCCTACTCAGTTTTCTACGTCCTCACTCTTCAACTGCCAGCAATCGACTGCCGTCTCTTACCGGGTTTTTCAGTCATCACGACCGTGCCACTGTGCCCTTTGACCCATGACCCTGACACCTTGAGGCTAATTGGTCAATCTAATCACGTGGTCCACTATTCTTATTTGCTCGCGACTCTGCTGGCTTGGCCTAGGCCCTAGGCCTACTCCTGGTCCGGCAAAGTACAATGGAGGGCTAGAGATGCGCACGAGAGCTCATTTGCATAATTGCAACCCCATTGGCCCTGCTCGCGACTTATCATGCTATTGTTTATATGTTTGTGTGTGAGTGTCTTTAAATTATTGTTACCAGGGGGGCTAGCCCCCCTGAAACCCCCCCATTGATATGTAAACACGACTGTCCGCTCATGTTATTGTTTCGCATTTTTGTGTGTTTTCTTTATTATAGTTTCCAGGGGGGCAAGCCCCCCTGAACCCCCCCACCCCACTGTTGGTATGATACACAGTGGTCCACCAAAGTTAAATCCCCTGCCCACTCTCAACCACCACCACCTCTCGCTCACCTCGCCTCGCCAGTCGCCGCTGACTTCGCTGTGCGTGCACGAAGTCGCCCGCGGAACTACCTTTTGTCCGCACGCAGAGTACTATGAGTGCGTAGTTAGGCTAGGCGTGAGTAGTAATCACGGGCCGAGACGGGTGGTCCGGTAAAGTACAATCCAGCCATCTCTAGATCTAAAATATATCTAGATCTAGAATCTAGATCTAGATCTAGATCTAGATCTATTCTAGATTCTAGATCTAGATCTATATATCTAGATCTAGATCTAGATCTAGTAGGCCTATTTATCTCTATTTCAAACTTTGCCTTTGCCGCAGTCAGCTGACATCACTACGCCCGTGCAGAGTAATTTATACTGAAATCAACGGTCGTGGTTACCTTTGGAAACCCTTCCTTCACTTTTTTCTTATTCCTCGGGTCGTCATCCATTTCGCTGTAATCATTGTGCTGGTATCCCCAAGTACTGTCTGGAATACATCACTGTGCATCACTGAAAACGGAAGGCTTTTCTGACGCCATATTGGAGGAGAATCGGAAGTTGGTGTTTGTTGAGGAAATAAAAAAAACAAGAGTAAAACTGAATGCTGTCCCTTGGTTCACAGTTTACATAACATAACAGTGGGCGTGGCTGGCGGTGGTATTATGCATTACAACTAGGCCTAGATGGCCTACCCACACTCATCGATAGCAACCGTTACAATAAATTCAATAAATACAATAGCCTGCGCGTTAGACCTCACCGCTTATGGCCCCGGTTCGCTGAAGATACCGCTGTTTTAAGTAAACATAATTTTTACTACATAAAAATCACAATAAGATCCCGCACTTTAATGAATACATTCGGCTAAGATCCCGCTTTTCAGATAATAATTATAGGAACCCAAACCCGAGTGGGCACAAACGATCAACCAAGAATTAGATCTAGGCCTAAAGTTTGTGATATCTGAACTGCCCGTTGCGTCACAGATCAGCCACTCGCATGAATGCGATAGCCTATCATGAACTGACATCACACGCGCTGGTGGGTAGCTTAAAATTTAAATTGGCTCCCGCGGGATCACCGAACTATATGAACTCTTCCCGGACCATTGCAGCAGTTATAAATGTCTCTACACACGACTTTACAACGAAATTTTAATATAATTAAATTGGTGAGGTCAAACGCAATGGTGTGTTAATAAGGGGCGGGGGGAACTTGGCGAGAGATGGAAAGCTATCAATTTGGACAGGTAATGTAAAGGCAAAGGGGCGAGGATTTTGGCCCTCTCAGTATCTGAGGAGGCCTAGGGCGAGGAGCAACTGGATAAGCGTAGATCGGGGCTCTTTGGAAATTGTCTTCCCGTTTGTTTACAAAAGAAACAGAATTTAAGTGATTACATAAGGACAAAAAGTGGCCATTGGCTGTGACCCCTACCACATTAGCCAGTAGAATCTAATATTGATCTCTGCCTTTTTTGTATAAAAAAATATTTTGGCCGGATTGAACTTTGGTGGACGTGTTTACGTGTGAGTGTATGCGCACTAGATCTAGCCTTAAGGGCGAAAACATAGATAGAACGCTGTTAAGTGGTTTGCGTGACGTCACCGACTGGACAGGGGACTAAGTTTAAAAATGGCCATTTCAGAGCTGGCGCTTCACGGTAGACACAAACTTATTATATTTTTTAAATCAGCGTCGTCAAATTAGGGTGGCAATGGAGCAGAATCACATTTTAAGCAATATTTTAGGAATTTATAGTTTTTAAAAATATCCCCATAATTACTTAAACGTAAGTACGCAGCTGTGTTGTGGTGTAATTTTTTCCTTATCTAGATGTAGGCTTTATAGGCGCCCTCTATGTGGAGTCAAGCAGACACCGCTACTGGCGCCTGTCCACGTCGATCTTCAGCCGCTTAGAGCTT